AGTTCAGAGCACGTAAATTTATGAAAGGTAGTATTTTAATTGAAATCCTTTAAAGATCATCTTAAATATTTAAAACTCTTCTTTTATAAAGATCACTTTTGCTCTTCTTTTTTTTTCAACACTGAAAATTTCCTTTTATTTTTTACTCTTTATTAAATTGATTTTTTTTTTAAATATACTTTTAATTTATATAAATCGTAAAATTAATTTTAAAATGTATTTCAGAAAGAAAAATTTGTTTCTTAAAAAGTTAAAATTCTCGAAATTTGGCAAAACTAAAAGGGATCTTTGTTTGTAATTTGTAATTCGTATTTACAAAGTTCCTTTGCATTTCAATGAAACCATCTTTCGCTTATCGTATAAATTCCATGCGGGTATATATATACAGTTGTTTTACATAATCCATTTCTCTTAGTGTTTACGGGCTGCAAACTCTGGCAATATTCTCAAAGTACCTTTCGCTGTTTCCTACGGATACATTACATAAGTGCGTTATTTCGCGTGTCACTTTTCACTTTATGAAAAATCATATTCACTATATAGTTCAGACTGAGGGTGTAGAGGGAGAAAAATGAAATCGTACAACTACCAAATCTTGGTGCTCGAGAGTTATCGTCTTTATACTTTTCACGCACACGAAAATGAATTTCCATGTATATATATGTATACATGGAAATTCATTTTCGTATGTATATATATATATAATATTCAAAAAAGGAAGTAGCTTGCATGCTTCAGGATAAAAAAGGTGCTCGTATTACTTTTTCAAGCAAGTCCTGACGCAAGGGCACACTGTGCCGCCATTTTATGAAAATTGCACACTTTCCAGTTGGCCCGACATTCTTCCAGTAAAATATATTACTTCGTTTCAGGATTAATAAATTTTATTTGCAAAATAGAAAGAAAAATATTTGAATAACAGCTTATATTTACTCGATTCCATATTATATATGAAAAAGTTACCTAATATAATTTTTTAAATTCGAATAACTATTTTTTTTTCCCACTTAGGAACCCGTGTAGAAATCACCAACGTATGCCTAAAATGTTTGTTGGCCCAAAATTAGTCCTACCTTGGCAGCTCCTGTTTATATATTCTAGACTGGTCCTAACTTGGACTTGGCTAGAACATCTATTGTTAAATGTTAGAAAATTTTTTATGAAAAAAAGTGATTGAACTTAGGGATTTGTAAAATATTCTCAAATAATACTTATTTAATTAATTGATAATTATTTATATGGTTATAATTATTTATTAATTTGCAATAAATATTTAAAGACATTTTTCCTTAGTTATATTTGTTAATTTATTTAATTGTTATATATATTGCCAAATAACACTGTCCGACACAATTTTTAACCCACAAAAAAATTTAACATTTTCGGAAACTAGGACCCAAAAAAAATACCCGTATCTGGCCGGTTTGCTAGATCAAGTCGTTTGTGGTTTTTAGGGGTGAAAACAACCCCTAAATGAAAAGTGACAAGATGTCTTTTAAAAATTATTAATATTTTATAAAACTTGGTACTTGACCCACACAGCACAACATCTTACACCAGGCCTACAGCAGGCTTACATGTAAGGTTTGTAAGGTAACATCGTAAGCCCATAGTAGACTTACAGTAAACCTAAAATGTCCGCCTTACAGTAAGCTTACATGGTAGGGTCGAGGTAAGCTTACATGGTAGGGTCGAGGTAAGCTTACACGGTAAGGTCGAGGTAAGCTTACACGGTAAGGTCGAGGTAAGCTTACATGGTAGGGTCGAGGTAAGCTTACATGGTAGGGTCGAGGTAAGCTTACATGGTAAGGTCGAGGTAAGCTTATGAGTAAAGGCTGTGGTAAGGTTATTATTAAGTTGTAAGGTTGAGGTAAGGTTGTGGTAAGCTTACAAGGTAAGGCAAGTTATATTCAAATAATAATATTAATAATAAATAAATATTCAATAAAAAAATTTTTCTTTTGCCTTATTCTATTTTGGGAACCTATCATTTCGCAGAAAGTTTTGAAAACAAATTTGGGAGGAGTAGGATTCGAACCCGGGACCGAAGTATATACCTAACAACCCAACCAACTGAGCTAAACGGGGAACTGACAATGAGAAAAGTAATCTTGCTTTTAAGGAGTTGATTATCTTCTTGGTTCCACTTTAAAAGTAAGATTACTTTTCTCATTGTCAGTTCCCCGTTTAGCTCAGTTGGTTAGGTTGTTAGGTATATACTTCGGTCCCGGGTTCGAATCCTACTCCTCCCAAATTTGTTTTCAAAACTTTCTGCGAAATGATAGGTTCCCAAAATAGAATAAGGCAAAAGAAAAATTTTTTTATTGAATATTTATTTATTATTAATATTATTATTTGAATATAACTTGCCTTACCTTGTAAGCTTACCACAACCTTACCTCAACCTTACAACTTAATAATAACCTTACCACAGCCTTTACTCATAAGCTTACCTCGACCTTACCGTGTAAGCTTACCTCGACCCTACCATGTAAGCTTACCTCGACCCTACCATGTAAGCTTACCTCGACCCTACCATGTAAGCTTACCTCGACCCTACCATGTAAGCTTACCTCGACCTTACCGTGTAAGCTTACCTCGACCTTACCGTGTAAGCTTACCTCGACCCTACCATGTAAGCTTACCTCGACCCTACCATGTAAGCTTACTGTAAGGCGGACATTTTAGGTTTACTGTAAGTCTACTATGGGCTTACGATGTTACCTTACAAACCTTACATGTAAGCCTGCTGTAGGCCTGGTGTAAGATGTTGTGCTGTGTGGGAGGGTTTTCGGGGTCACTGATTAGTAATCTGATGTCAGATTTTCAAAATTCAAAATGGCGGATCCAATATGGCGATCAAATTTTTAAAAAGATATTAATTTTTTATTTTATATCCGCCATTTTGAATTTTGACAATTTAACATCAGATTCGTTATCAGCAACCCAAAAAACCCCTAGATATCAAGGTTTAAAAAAAAATTTAATAACTTTTTAAAATTTTGAGCGCCATAATGAATCCGCCATTTTGAATTTTGAAAATCTGACATCAGATTAATAATCAGTGACCCCGAAAACCCCCAGATTTTCATCCCTAAAAACCACAAACGACTTGATCTAGCAAAATGGCCAGACACGGGTATTTTTTTTGTGTCCTAGTTTCCGAAAATGTTAAATTTTTTTGTGGGTCAAAAAAAAGTTGAATTTTGTCGAACGGTGTAATATATTGTAAAAATATTTTATTGAATTTTTATTTGTTTAAACAATTTATTGTTAATAATTTATAACTTTTTTAAATACAAATAGACAGTAGCACAATTTTATATAAATTTGTTCCCTTCTCTTAGTAGTTATTAATTTAAAGGTTATAAATAAAATAAAATATAGAATTAAATTTTTGAACAACTATTATGTTAAATTGTTTAAACAAATAATTGTTTCTAATTATTAACATTTTTCATAATTTTCCTAAAAAAAATTCAGTATTTTTTTCCATTGTAAAATTAGGAAAAAGTTCCATCTTTCTTGGTGCACTACAAAAAAGTTAATAAATAACAACAATAAATTGTTAAAATAATTGTTGAATTAATAATTTTAAATCAAATCTATCTGGCTTTATATTCGATTTGATAAATTGTAAAATTAGGAAAAAAAACTGCACCTTTCTAGGTGCACTACAAAAAAAGTTTATGTAAATAACAATAAATTGTTTAAACAATTAAACAATGCCTAGTTAATAATAGGGCAAAATAGATAGGACCAAGGTAGAACGAGTTTTCATTTTCTACACGAGAAAAATAATATTTTTTCTATTAAATTCTTTTTTTAATATTTCATTTTTTCTATCCCTTTAAAATACCTACATCAATTTTTTAAATCACAATTGAAATATCGATCGCGTCATAATTACAAATTTTTTACACATATAAGAAAAAAAAATAGAACATTCGCTCTGGTAATAAATAATTCTAGACAAATAAAAAGCTCGGCAAATAAAAGAGAGAGAGAGAGAGAGAGAGAATAAAAAAAAACTTAAAAATTCATTTGAAAGGTTATTAGACTGTAAAAATGAGGTCATATGAATATAGTTACACATTCAACATTTTGTGAAATTCAATTTAAAATATATACAGATATATATATATATATGACAAAAATAAATCCAAAACTTTCTCTGTGGAGGAATCCGTGAAAATTGAAACCGAAACGTTCCCAAGTGAAATGAAGTAGAAATATAAATTAAATTCTAAAATGATTTAACTCGAATCGACCAAATTCCACTTTCGGAGAAACATTGTGTAAAGTATGCGATCTCGCCTTTTGCTATTAAACGACACAAAAGGTGAAAACGTCGGGTGTTTGAGGGTACAGTAGCAGCAGCAGTAGCATTGGAATGGAGAAAAAGAGTGGTTGAAAAGAGCTTTCGCATTGCACACCGAGAGAAAGCCGAGAAACGAACGTGCGCTCGAGAGGAAGAAAAAGAGGGACGCGTGCGTCTAGAGAGAGAAAGAGAGAAGGGAGAGGCAGACGAAAAAGGGTACAATTAAAATTAGCGCAATTCAGTCACTCTCCAGTAATTCGCGTGCCTGGCATTTATATTATTAAGCTGCGCAAATTTCTCTCTTTCTCTATCTTCTTTTTTTTTTCTCTCTTCCGTCACTTTAGCAGCTCACAGAAAGTGTGTGTGTGAGAGAGAGAGAGAGAGAGACCAAGATTAACAACTATGTATAACCACACCTGCACAGCATGAAAATCATTTTGAGTTTTGACAGTGAATTAGAGACTGATTACTTTTAATATACGGACTAAAAATTTCTCATGTATTATTCATATTTTCTTTTTTTAAAAAAACTTATTCTGTTATTACAGATAGCAATTTTTCACAAAAAGTTTCCTTTCATTTTCATTAAATTTTAAAAGAGAGTTGATATAAATTTTCTATTTGAATTTATTTCTTCTTTCTATTTATTTTTTATAGAAATTTTTTAAAAAGAACTCACCTTTGGATGTGTCCTCCTGGGAAATGCTACCTTCGGGTCGATCTGAAAATAAAAATTTTTTTTTATAAATTTAGAAAAACTTTTATATTACCTACAATTAATTGAGAAAAACTTTTTTTTTTTTAAAAAATAAGAAACTCTTTTTTTTATTAGGATTTGATCACAAATAACTCAATTTAGTTATATATATATATAAAGTTTTTGCGCCTCTCTACAAGTAATGCGATTGCCCACATCACTTCGATCACTGAGATGATTTATGGTAATCTTTCAGCCCTTGTCGTTCATCCTACATACACCTCCCACATATCAGGTATTTACCACGACCAGTTACCTGGGATGTCTGTACCCTCTTTCCCTTAAAGCCCAGCCGTCATTTCCCTAAATCGATTCGTTAATACGACGAGGATTTCCGGTCCGGTAAGCGGATGCCTCTTCCACATACACATACACACACATAGGCACGAAGGGGAGGGGGCTTTTTGTAATCCCTCGACGAATGGACTACACGAAAGCGATAACGGATTATGTGAGAATGATAACGGGTGCAGGTGCCGACGAGAGCTGCCAACTGTCTTTATAAACGGTATCGATCTAACGAGCATTTAAGAACACCCCGCGTATTCTCTCGCTCTTCATGTATTGCCTTCGATGATTGATGTAAGTTTAGTGCCTAGTCAGCTTATGCCAATTCCGACTTTAATCGACCTTTTCATATATATATATATATATATATATATCATTTTCTTATCAGAATATTTCATCGCTTTTTTTTCCTTTATTATCATCTTCAGATACTTATCATAATCGATTTGTAATATTTTTATTATTTATTCATCATTTTTTATAATAATTATTAATATACTGCTTTAAATTTTATAGAGTCAAAAACTACCAAACCAAAAATTTCAGTATTATACCAAAGTTCACTACTGGCGCAATATTGGTTCAGTATTGGTTTCCGAGGCTGGGCAGTCTGTTTTGAACCAGTACTGGTGTTTTCATTGTATCAGTACTGTTGTAGTACCACCCTCCCAGTACTGGCAAACCAGTACTGAGCCAATATTGAGTCAGTACTGGCTCAAATAGATTTTCTTTTTGATTAATTAATACTAGTTTACAAAAAGTTCTAGAGTGAACCTGATGAATCTTTTTGTTTAAATATTTTGTTTATAAAAATTTTTTCACCTTAATTTTATTTTTCAAAATTAAAATTTATTTTATTTTGCTTTTCTGTGGGTAAAATTATTTAATAAAAAAAGTTTCCTGAGACCAATTCTAAAATATTTTGCAAGATTTTCTTATTGTTTTCAGATATGCAATAAAACAAAAAAAATTTTTAAACGATCAAACTAAAAATAAATAAATTTGTTTATGAAAAATTAATATTTTTTAAAATAAAAATTTAAACAAATTTCCTAGACAACACTTGTTAAAAATCTAAAAACAACTTTTATTTTCTTAAAAAAGTTTTTCAAAAATTCATTTTGATGCAAATATATATTTGATTAAAAATAGATATTATACTTTTGAAAAAAACTTAAATTTAAAAATTTTTACCCGACAATTTATAAACCTACAAAAAATTACGTCAACTTTTTTTCTCAAAACTTTGATTTTATAATAAACATATTTTTATATTTATTTATTTTTGATTTTTTAAAATAATAATTTGCAATATATATTATAATAACGAATAAAAATTCTTGGCGTTTTCGACTTTATATAATAAAATAAATAAAATTTTTGATTTTTTGACCCTTAACTGCAGTGGTTGATAAAATTTTCATTTTTCTTTGATACTAAGAAAATTTATTTGTTTCAAAGTTTCAAACAAATTATCTTTGAAACAAAAAAATTTATCTTCGTTTAAAAGAAATTTTTTTTGTTTCAAAGAAAATTTTATTTTAAATAAAAGAAAAGAAGTAAAAAAAAATTGGTTTTCTTAAATCAAAGAAATCTTTTCTCTGGGTGTGAGAATAAAAAAATTCTAAAAATTTTAGTTTATCCAACTTAGTTTCAGTTTAGAAAAATTTTCACATTGTTTAATGAAAAGTCAAAATATTACTAAACAAAAAATTATGGAATAATAAAAATATATATATAATTCAGAATAATTTCATAAGCAATTCCCCGTATAATATATATGAAATATTTTTATAATATTTGTGAGTAAAAGTGAAGTGACTCATATCTTGATGCCAGAACAGATTTATTGTCACGTTTTGCACCAATTGTGGGCGTAAATCACAACACTCAGCTACATAATGACGCATTTTTATTGAGTAACTGTTTTTTTTTTCGATTTTTTCAAACATGGTAAAAAGCTTGTAAAATAACGCGTAAAATTTTTATGGGCATTCTGGATTATAGAGGCAGAACCTGGTAAAATTCAGGAAATCGCTGCTGGTAGCACACTGCATATTCTCTGTAAACGAGGTGATTCACCGACAGATTACTGCCATGCATGCAGAAAAAGCAAGCGCGAAGAAAATTGATGATAGAATTTTAAAAATGTATCAAGCAAAAATAAAAAAAAAAAAAAAAAAAAAGGAAACTATTATACCCAGAAGTGTAATACTCAAGCATTCTGAGGAACATTGTAAGTAGTATACGATTAACAAGTAGTAATATTCTGCTTTAGTCAGACACGTCTTACAGGATGATCTGTACTCTGTAACTATTTAATTATATCATTTATTTTAAAATAATTTCTTCTTCCAGAAACAAAATTTTTTAATAATAAATAGGAAAAAAAATAATTTTTGCAAATTGTCGTCATTTTTAAGAGAAAAATAGTTTAGTAGTGAAGAACGATCAATATATATATATATATATATACATATATAGCTTGGCGCTTCAGTAGTACAAACACATTTTGGTCAGACATACGTCCTATCCAATTTAAAGTCTCTAAAACGTTACCATTAAATTTTTATGTCACTGTAAATTTTAACAAAACAACAAAAACTTTGAAATTGCTTGAATTCTATAATACGAGAACTATAAAAATTAAAGTTGAAAAAAAGTTGAAAAAATCGTAAAAAAAAAAAAAAAATAATTAGGATCTAAATTGTTTCATTTACATTTGGTAAAAAAGAAAAAAAAAATTGAAAATTTATTATTTCACAGAAAAAAAGTTTATCTATTTGAAAGTATATATACCGTCATTATATGACGCAATAAGATTTTTTTACTATAACACATAAACCAATAACTAAATCCATGAATTTTTTACTATTTCGTCGAGGATGAAGAAGGTGCAAGAGGCATTGTTATTTAATTAAAAGCTCATAAAAGCGAGAGAAGAGGCTTTCGTGGAAAAAAAAGAAGAGAGAAAGAGAGAGAGAGAGAAAATAACGAGACGCTGGAGAACTTTCGTTTTAACGTCCAAGTACTCTCTTGGACTAAAGCGAAGAAAGTTTTTCTCAGTAGCTCATTGGTCGATGGATCGCTCTTAAAAGGTTTTCTTTACCTAAACCTCCGATGCGTGTCCCGTAGAGTGTTGAGAACCAGTTTCAAGTTAGTTCCAGGCAAGCTCTCTCTCTCTCTCTCTCTCTCTCTCTCTCGCTTGGAACACCTAGCTTCCGGCTGAAGCCACGAACGTGGTAATGACAACCAAGAACCCCACAGTTACCCCATCCCCTTTCTCTATCTACCGCGCGTTCTCGTCCCCCTCGCCGCGTTTGCGTAATCCCCTTCGGCAAAGTTCACACCGGTCGCTCGCACGTCGCAGACGATAGCGTCCGTCATGCTTTAAGCGTCAACAAAAAGCATGAATTTTTTTTCAATTTTTTTCCCCTCTTTACAAAAAAAAGAAAAAAAAACGAAACATCAATTTATTCAAAATATACACTGCAAAAAGAAGTATCTTATTTTAAGATGTTTTGGTATAGCGTTTTTAAGACATCAAGATGTTTAAGATGTCTTGATGTCTTAAAAACGTTACCAAAACATCTTAAAATAAGATACTTCTTTTTGCAGTGTAATATAATAATAAAACTTTAATTTACACTACAACAATTTCTCAAAGAGTTTTTAATAAAGATCATTTAGATTGATATTAATATAAAAAAAATATTCAAGTATTTAGAATTATTTTTCTTTAATTAATCCAAAAGCCTGCTTTAAAAATCTGTATGAGCATCAAAATTTTTTTTATCATTAAATAAACTTTATTAGATTTATAAAATAATAAAATTCCATATATATATTAGAATATTTAAATTCACAAAATGCAGAAAATATAATTAAAAATTTTAAAGGAATAAAATATGTTTTCATTTCTTTTTCTGCTCTGACTTTAATTCAATTTAATAAATTAGTTATGTAACTTTTTTTTTTTTATAGTAAATATTAAAAATTCAAATTTAATTTTCAGAATATATAAGAAATATAATCTCGTTAAAAAGCTTTTAGATTAACAAGAATTTTTCTTTTTCCTATTAACCAGTGATTTTATATGAATTATTTATAAATTCTGCATAGTGAGCTAAAATGAAGATGTAATTTTTGTAAATATTTTAAACATTCGGACAAAGGTAAAAATTATTTTTATGTAATTTTACATCAAAAAAAAAAGTATAAAAGTGTCAAATTTATCGATCCACCCTCTCTACTTTGTTAATTTGAATTATTTAGTTATTTTATTTATTTAATGAGATTTAATTCAACAATCCAAATTTTTTTTCCACCCTAATTTAAATTAGTGAACAAATTCTCACTAAATGAAATTTAGAGATTAGAGCAAAAAATGTCAATTTAAAATATTAAATAAAATTATTAAACATGAAAATAATAATTATACCGACGAAATCTATATTGAAAGCCAACAGTATAGTAAACGGAAATTTGATCGAAAAGAGGGGGGAAAAAAAATAGTAGAAGGTATGGGCTAGTGTGATAGAGAGAAAAATAACAGGCATTACCGAGAGAAATCGCGCGGCTCGAAACCATTTTTCCAAACATAACCTAGTTACTCGATATCTGGCGAAATGATCGGGGCAGCCAACATTGGGCCACCGACGCGAAGCAACGATAGA